TCGTGCAAGTATTAAGATTACATAGACGAAAAATCGAAAAAGTGTCTCAGTTTTGAGATAGAATGGCGGACACTTTTTTTCTGTTTTAGACCAATGATTTGAAAACTACGAATGTTTTGGATTTTTATTTCAACTCAGATGCTCCTTTTTAACATTATTATTTTTTTGCACTTCTAAATACAGCAGGGAAAAAAACGGAAAAAGAAGTCTAAACAATTCCGGCTGGATTTTTTTTTTATTTTGAAGGTTTCCTTGAATTTTGATTTTCTCTACTCCAATCTTTGTTGTCGAGAGATTCTGTGGTACCGTCACAGCAACTGAATATCCTCGTTTTTCCTGGTTTTAAAAAGTTTTTAGCTCCTTACGATTGATTGTGAAGGTGAAACTTCCAAAGGTTTAGTGGAACAAGGTGTTAAAATACATCCAATGATTAAATGTAAAAATAATAAATGAGTGCAATGCAATTGATGGATTTTACGAGTTTTGAGAGTTTTCTGTCCCTTTTTGTTTGGCTTTATAATGAGAAACTTGATGAAAAATATGGGTTGTTATTCAACTGTCTGAGTACGTTATCCCAGAAAACTTTGCTGAAAGTTTTTTTTGTCTCTACCAAATTCTATCAAAACACGTTATTCATTGACTTTCTAAGGAAGCGGAGCTTTTATGCTATTGGTGATTTGTTTTGTTCAGTCAGTTTTTAGTTTTTTAACTTTGATGTATATTTTTATACCATTCAAAATTTTTTGTTATGCAGCCCTCAACTTAAAAAAAATTAGCTGTGATCATTTTTGGTTAGGTTGTGGGGGTTTGATATTTGCTAATTTGGTCTGTTTGGGATAATTAATTCGCGACATGTTGCGTTTTTAAAACGTGCGACATGCTAAATACCTTCTTAAAATTTCAACAGTATTATAATGGGACGTTTTTTTGGGAAACTCGGGTCAAATTTTTATCCCAAAAACGAACCAGTTTTGGCTCTTTTATTTAAATCAAAAATTGCGTCAAACTCTTTGCCGTCAATATTCGCTTAAAGTTAACTTTTATGTTGCTCATTACAATTTAAGCAGAGAGTATTTTCTCAGTTTTGTATAAATATGTTCACTTAGGTTTGACCCGCACCGGGTTTTTATGGATAATAATCGGTTATATTGAGTTTTCATTGTCAGTATTAATAAATTTCAAATACAATCGATCAAAATTGGGCATAAATACCAATATTATTTAATTCAATACAATGAAATATGAGGTTAATAATTTTTTGCAAGTACCTCATTTTTTGAAAGTACCTCATTTCCTGTGTAGTGGAATTGCAACGACTTACTTTACTAAGCTTTGTTTTTCATAAAATGTTTTATTTTTTGTATTTTTGTATGTTTTTTTCCTTCAAGTTGGCAGTATAACCTTTTCTTGGAAACTTCCCAAATGGCATAATTCCCAAATGGCATAAAAATGGAAACTTTTCCCAAATGGCATAAATTTCAAGTTTTCATTGTAATTTAAACGCTTTCTATCAATTTCTATTTCATTTTGTCAGGAACGAAAGCATGTGAACAAGATTTGGAATTAATTGCTTCCAAACAAATTTAAGCAACAGATTTGTCGAAAAAAAATGACCACAAGAAGCTTATTAATAAGCGCAAGCTTATGCTTCTTGCTTTTGATAAAAAGTTCTAGAAGTTTTTCACGATAAAATGTCAATCAACATTTGAATTTTCAATTTGACTAATTTTCTCACCTTGTTCACGAAAAAATTGTTCTCGATTTTTCCAAAGCATTTGTTGCATGAAATTTATGCCATTTGGGAATTATGCCATTTGAGACGTAATCCTTTTATTCGATTGTTTTTTTTTTGCCATCGCGTTGGAAAAATGAGCATTCTCCTACCTGTGCTCTTAAATTCGCCCATCTTACCTCACCTCCTTCACCTTTGAGTAAAGGGGGAGCTGAGTTCAATGGTTAAACGCGGGGAGTTATTTAATGGTTGAAGAGCGGAATGGTTAAACTGACGGGGGTGAATCTACCACCTCTTCTAATCCCCAGTTTGCCCTCTTCCCCAGGTCCCTCTCACCAGTTTAGTGGTGGTGGTGGCCGAAAAAGTTAGGGAAGAAGGGAGGTAATGAGCGGGAGTTTAGAGGGAGGGGGAAGGGGTTGGAAGGATCTCTAAGCCATGCAAGAAAAGCAAAAAAAACATGATTTAGAAACTGATTTCGTTTTTTTTGTTTTTATGCTCTCTATTACTTCGTACAAAATTTATCTTTGATCCCTCATAGTTTTGCAAAAAAAAGTGCAACGAGCTGAGCAGATAACAATCGATTGTCATGGATTTCTGTGAAGAAAAAAACAATTTTTAAGGATCTATTTTGAGAAAAGTTATAACGCAAGAAAAATTGGTTATAATCATCACAAAGGGGCTTCAGTTCCAACTGGCATCAATAATTGATTATATTGTTCAATATATTGTCTCACTAAAAACCATTATAATCGAATCTTGTCGAAATTCCAGTGCAACAATATCCGCTATGAGTTTCCACGATAACGATTGACTATAATTAAGTCTCGTGGTAAGGTGTGTGGCCATTATAGTCGATTAGAATTATACTTTGGGCCCACTCAATCCATTATAACCCATTATAATTAATTATTTTCAAAAAATTTGATACGGATAAAAAAAATGAAGAATAATTTGTCTGAACTTTTTCCAAATTTGTTGCAAAATATGCAGTTTTTTCTACATTTCTCACATCCTACTGGAGTTTTGCAAAATTACTTATTTTTGCAAAACGATATCCAGCACACTTGCACCACCCTGACGTGTCAAGTAACCCAATAATTGCCACGTCCTCCCACATTTCATTTTACCCCCCCCCCCCCCCCCTAATTACCCAACCCCCTCCCTCCTCCCCCTATACTTGTTCCTCTCCACGCTCCTCTCACCTAACCTTCCCCCAGTCCCTGCAATTCCCCATAGCAGTTTTCAAGATCATTACGAGGCCAAACTGTGCATTCTCTGCATTGTTAGCGGAATCCAGAACCGTTTTTGGAATCCACTCACAAATAATAAGACATGTGTTTAGTTAAATTGAGCTGTTGCGGAATTCGCAAATATTAAGTGGAATCTGCATTTTGTTTGAGGATTCCACTTACATTTGCGGACTCGACTTACATTTTGCGGGTTCTACTTACATTTTGCGGACTCCACTTACATTTTGCGGGTTCCACTTACTGTTGCGGAATCCAGAACAACTAGCTATATTTGCTTGTTGCGGAATCCGCAACAAAACAAAAGTGCCGACAAAATTTAGGCTACAAATAATTTTACGCGGAATCCTCGAAACTTTTGTTAGTGGAATCCACTTACGTTTTGGAACATGTTAAGAGATTTGTCTCTGGAATCCAGGAACATACAGACACCAAATTGTGCGCCTATGCAGTGCAGAGTTAGGCCTCGTAATGATTTTTTCAATTATTTTAAACCTTGATAAAATAGACAAAAAGGCAAAAAATATAACGGAAATTTGGAAGGGGTAACAGTGAAAGAGGGGTGGTAAGTGATGAGAGCAAGAAAATAAAGGTAAACGTAAAAAAAACTAAAACAATACAACAAAATTTACCAGCCAGTTGTGAATCTCAATTTAACGATTGCAATGTTCAAGTTTTGAAATTATCCAAAAAGTTTTTGGGAAGTTCAGGCTCTTGCCTAAATTAATTTATGATTGATAAAACCCATTAAAATCGATGGTTTGAATTGATTTCTTTTTGTTTGGTTTATTTTTAATTACGATTTCATTATAATCTATTGTTTTAAAGTTTTATAGAGACAGACCATAAAAGTACATTATAACTGATTGATATTTATGGAACGTCCTTGCGGGAGATTATGTCATTTTTACTACATAAAACTTTAAAATTATTTTTAAAAAAAAAGATTTTAAAACGTTTTGCTCGAACATTAGAAAATGATATCTTTCTTAAGCTTTAAGCTTTGTTGAGCTACATAAAAGGCTCACTTTGATATAACTTTGCCAGTAATTGAAATGGTAGTTTGGTAAAATTTGGTTGACTGAAAAAACCACCAATTATTCGTTTTTGGGTAAAAATTTGGGTACTAGTGTTGCAAATTAAACTGAACCAATAATTCCGCTCAAATTTTAAGCAACTTTTGTCTTCATTTTTTTTTGTCTAATTTCAACCCAGTTGGAAAAAATTGCGTTTCAGTTTTCAAGTCTTGTGCATTTCGCTCGGATAATTTATAGTTTAAGCCAAACTGTTGGCAATATCCTCTTCGGTCAACGAAACTGAGCGAAGTTATTTAACCTAAAACTGTTCATTTTGACATCAGATTTCTGTGGTTCGCTCCTTTCCGCACGTAAAAAGTGTGTTAGAAAAACTAAATATCCTAAAATACAATAATTTTGACCTATTAAATTACTCAAGGACACCATTACCAATATTGCCAACCATTACCAATATTGCCAGGGGCGGATTTAGGGGGGGCGGGGGGGGGGTGCGGACGCCTCCTCTCCCTCAGGGATTTGACCCCTGCCAACCCAAAGGGTCCTCCTTTGTTACTTTTTCAGAAATCCATTTTCGGCCGACCGGCCCTAAAATTTTTCTAAGGGCGCCTTTGGCGCTAATATATGCTAACTTTGAGGGGGAGCGCGCGCCAAAAAAACGCGTTTTTTTTGGCAAAATTTTTCAAAAAGTGACCAAAAACGGCTTTTTTTGACTGTTTTTTCAAAAATTTGCCTGTGGCGCACAAAATTTAGCCAAAATAGCGGCAAAACAGTGCTTTGGGAGAGCTCGAAAAATCAATATGGTCGACCTAAAAAAAAGGTCGTCAAAATTTTAGAAAATTTTTTGAAAATCCGCCCCCCCTCGAGAAAATCCTAGATCCGCCCCTGAATGTTGCCATCAAGGACACCATTACCAATACTGCCAACAACTATAAATCAGCACTGTATTGACAAAGCAACTTTATCGCCGTAACTGCAAACAGAGCAGAGCAAGACAAAACGTGTGTGAGTGAGATAAAGAAATGGTTTGAAAGAGATCTGATTTGGTTTAGAAGATTTATATTTCTATTATAAACGTTTGAACTTAATCATTTTTCTTGTTCACGTTTAAATTGCTTGAATAATTCATCTTAGTTTTCACTTTATGCTCTGATTACATAACATAATTAAGCTACTAAATTACATTGTTTTTGCTCCTTTTTTATCCCCCTGAGTCAGAAATATTTCAGTTTTCTTTTTACTTGTCCCGCAAAAAGATGACGAGCCAAAAATCTACAGTTGGCCTAGTTACCGGAGGCTGTAGTAAAATTGGCACCCATATTACCAAGTGGCTCCATTCTCACAATTACAATCTGTGTATTCATTACTCATCAAACAAAACCAGCGCAGAAAAGTTGGCGGAAGAACTCAACCAATCAAGGGATCCATTCAAATTTATGCGGCGTCCAAAAAAAATTTTTCTGACTTCTCCATTTTTTTTCGCGTGTACGTTCCGACATCAGTTTTCAAGATTCATTTAGAAAAATTGTGGGTTTGACGTTCTTTGCAATGCAAAAAACTTTCAGTCAGGGTTCGCATGAAAACGTTTTTTCATTGTTTTAAAAAAGTAAGGAATATTTGTTATAATTTTATCTTGGCTGGGGATATTTCGTATGGTCTTTTTTACATAAAATTTACTCCGATGCTTATGATTTCATTGTCTTCGTTTCGTATTTTCAATAGTAGAATCTAAGGCTCCTTTGCAAAAAAAACTTCAATGCCAGTACAAAAAACTCTTTAAAAAACAGGCTTACCATTAGCAAAAAGATTGTAGAAAATTTTACCGTTACTGAAAAAAGAAAAAACTATTTGCTCGCCGAAGTTGGTCAGCCAATTATCACGCCTAAATTTGAAATAATTTCGCAAAATTAGACCAGATTCGGCCTTCATCTATCAGTTGAACTTCGCTTCATCGTCCATCTCAGAAGTACAAAAGATGGTGGACGAGACTGCGAACAAGTGGGGACAATTCGACCTCCTAGTCAACAACGCTTCAGTTTTTAATGGCACAAGGTAAAATTTGATTGAGCTAAAATAATGCTGAAAACGTATTTGAAAACATCCATGTGACAGTCATAAATATTCTCTTGATCAAAACAGGAAAATCATAAAATCGAAGGAAAATCGAAAGGGGCGGATCTGGGATTGTCTTTTTCAGGATTTTCAAAAAAAGTTGAAAATTTTGTCGACCTTTTTATTTTAAGTCAGTCCAACTTTTTGAGCTCTCCTAAATCACTATACCAGGCAAAATTTTTCAGCGCAGCGCCCTCCCTTTCCCCTGGTTTTATGATGCTGCGTGAAAAAAAATAGGGGATGGGGATGGTGGAAAGAGTCTGAAATTTAATTAAAAGCAGAAGTTAGAAAAAGTTGAAGTTAGAAATTAAGAAGGGAAGCACTTCAAAATAGAAGAAATAAAAAGTTTTTTTTTCAGATTGAAGGGATGGGAGTTAAAAAAAACCTTCAGGGCTTAGACCCCTCACCAGGAATAAGGTCTACCTAACTGCTTTACAACACGCCTTATCATCCAACTCAAATCTAAAAGAGCCTTCGGTTGTTTTCAGCTTTAATTATTTTTGGCTGCTCTCCAAAATCTGTTTCTGGTTCAAGTTTTTTTGGCGAAGAATAAGAGTTTTTGACTGTTCAAGGTGAGCTATAGAAATCAATCAGCCTTAATTTTCTATGCCGCGTTAAAAAAACATCTTTTCGTTTTTTCTGCATTTTTGAATTTTATACTACGTATATTTGCTTTTCGTTTTAGCTTAGAGGATGGCCAATTATTCGAAGCAGATTATGACCAACAAATGACAGTGAATGTCAAAATTCCAGCGCTGCTGATTCAAAGTTCGATTAAATATTTGAAGGTTTCGAAGATTGGATGCATTGTGAACTTATGCGATGTGCATGGCTTGCGTCCCCTCCATGGGTTCATGTCTTACAGCGTCTCCAAGGCAAGGGCCATATATTACAATAGTGGTAATCCCTATAACTATGTGTTTGCTATTCTGTTAATTATCCAACACCCCACCCCCATCCCATTCCAACCTTCCCCGCCCCGTCCAACCTTCCCCGCCCAAGTGGCCAAATGGTATCTAAAAAAACTAATTATACTTTTTTCTTTAGGTCGACCTAATTGATTTTCTGAGACAGGTTTTTAGGCGCCTTTAGAAAAATGTTAGGGTTAATTAGCAAAAAAAAAATAGATATTTCAAAATGGTACAAAGTGGGAACCCTTTGGGTCGGCAGGGGGTCGAATCCCTGAGAAGGGGGGGGGGGGGAGTCCACCCCTGCCCCCGTTACCCTCCCCCTAAATCCGCTGTGGTTAAGTATATACAAATTTTGTACCTTTTGTACAAAGTATCTATGCAAGATTTGGGGATTTAGTTCACACGTGCAAACTAAATAGCATTTTCTTTTTTCTTAAACTAAGGATTAAGCTTGAGATAATTTTACAGAAAATTAATATCGAGGTTCAAAATTTGAGACCAGCTATTGTAATAATAATCAACCTACTAAAAGGCAGCCATTATTTCTCTCACTCAATGCATGGCTAAAGAATTGGGCGAAAGTTATGGAATACGTGTGAACGGGATCTCTCCCGGGGCTATTTTTCCTGCGCCTCCTGGAATCGAAAGTTCAGCTGTCGCAATCAGCAAAAACGTCTTCAAGAAGTTCGGAAACGTCGAGTCAATTTTGTCAGCTTTGAAGTTTCTGTTGGAAAGTGATTTTGTCACGGGCCAGATAATAAATGTGGACGGAGGAAGCAGCTTGAATCAGTGAAACTGACAAATTAAACGCCGTGAACAAACAGCTAATTCAACACTTACTCTATATTTTTCTTGACTCAACACGTGATAAATCTCGAGTTTTTCTGTCAGCTAATGGCTTTTACAAGATCAAGCATGAAACCTAAGGATGTTTTGATGTCAATAGAATATCGTGAACAAAAATAAAAATCTACTAGTGCTGTAGAAGAGTTAAACTTAACTAATGGGTTCACAACACTTTTTTTGGTTCCAAAAAGGACTCATACAAAGTATTCTCATGATTCATTGGAGCTGTGATTCAACTGCCGATCCAAAACTTTTGCAATTATTTCTAGAAATATCAAATTCACTTATGCGATTTCAGGACATTTCTGCGCGAATATTTACATTAATTGCGGTTCCTGTTTGTTGTTCCGACCACTAAAATTCGTGAGCAACTTTGTATTCCGGTGACTTTTAGTTAGTTTTTTTTGGTTTTCAGCGCAAATTCAGGTAAAACAAATAATGGCTGGAAAGAAAAGGTTGTGTGATATATTTTAATAAAGCACTTGCATTTGTGAGTGGAACCCCATTGAAACGTTATCAAAAAAATGTTGTGATTTTTGGTCTATATCGAGCGATTAATGCGGGCGAACAGACTTATAATACGAAAATAAGACTTGAAAACTTAGTTTTAGTCTAGGAAGAATAGCTTTTGGCAAATTTTTCAGGGCATTTTTCACAATAAAAAACGAAAAAAAATCTGCAAAAATTTCAAAGAAAATTAATAAATTTTTTAAATTTTTTTTTAGTAATTTTTGTTTGTTTTGATAAAATTTTTGGCAAAATGCAGTCAAAGTTTTGTTCTGTCATTTTACTGTTGAAAAAACTTATTTTCCCCACACTTTCTAAACTTTGGATAAACTTTGCATTTGGGTGTGATTTTTTTTCTTTTTCTTTTTTGTTTTCCACGCAAAATCAAGTAACACAAAAAATCATCGGAATGAGTGGAGTATTAAATCAGACTAAAACTTTTTAGTCATAATTTAGATAAAACTGAAAACTTTTGAAAAAAATTTCTCAGTGTCGAGAAAAACAAGTTTAAAAGTTTAGACCTTTAATTTAATTTCAAGCTGATAAGATGTGCAAAAAATTTGAAGGACTATGCAGGCTTACAACAGCTTATTTCTGCTTAATTTAAGCCGTAAAAATATTTTTTTATATAGATTTAATTTTTGGAGTTTTTCAGCGCCAACTTGTGAATCAAAATCTTTAAAATTCAAAACCTTACTGCCAAAAAACGTTTGAAAATTTTAACGATATTTTTATGGTCAATTTTTTTAAATAAAAATTGTTTTACAATTGGTTTTTTCCACTGAATGCCAAATGTTTTAGTTACTTTTGTGCATAATTTTTCGCACCATGCAGTACAAACGACACTATTTGAAAAGTTTTTTTTTGTATTTCCTTGGATTATAGTCGGAAAACTCTAAGCTACTTGCACAGTAACTGGCTATCTTTGTTTTCTAAGCTTTGGTCTTTTCATAGTTGAATGAACAAAAAATATTACAATTTGCCAAAATTATACCTTTTGTGGTTTTGGATGCTACCGTTTTTTTCGCAAATCTATTTGTTCTGGTGTCATTGTTGATGGGAACTAAACGTATACAAAAGAAGATTAACATACATAAATATCCAATTTCCAGAGCATTTTTCAACACGCCACTTTGTAGCTTTTCACAACAAACAAAATTTCAAAATTGTTCGTTTATCTGCTTCATGAGTGTGCAAGGGAACCAAACAAAATTTAAATAACAGATATAGGAGCAACGCTTTACTTCAAAGCAAGTTTGAATTCTTTGATAGAAAAAAAATTGGAGCAGTAAAAAAAACCATTTTACACAGTTTCATTTGGCAGAAAAATTAAATTAAATCACAAAAATTTTTATTAGAGCAACATAGAAAGAAATTTACATCTAAAGTTTGATTAATAAAGATAAAAATAAATTTAAAAAAAATCGAAACTTTTTTCCGCTTTGTACTGTTATATCTTGATGGCACAACGTACAACGTACAGACTTAGTCTTGAGGCAATTGAAAAGAACACCCCATTTTTTTCAGTACTCTAGTGTTTTGAAACGCTATATGACTTGAAGTAGTTCACAGCAGTGCATGAAAATAGCGATTACTTATAACCAAGCTGTTTGAGTAGTAAATTGGCCATATTCGATTTGACCGTTTTTGCTTTCCGCTTTCGACATGTAACGCAATGGGTTTCAGTAGACTTAGCAATCGACGCATCCCAATTATGGCGTTTTTTAAGTTGATGACTGAGAGCATGTATTCCAACCCTTGATGACTACTATTACGGTGGCGATTCCCAGCTAAGGTTAACCTTACTAATGTATGCCGGCTCCAAACAATTTGCGAAATCAAAATTGATGTCAACTAAACGTATTATTCGGTCAGTGGTTTGAAACGAGAAACTGAGATTGCGTGGCTATCATGCTGTTGCTCCTAAGTGTTTGCCAGAGGTAAGTAATTTCAATTTGGCAAGAAATGAGTCCGTTGGAGTAAGGTGTATGAGCTTTTTTTCCGCAATATTAGACTCACGAAGATTAGTAATCTGAAGGTTTGTACATCGAAAGGATGTATGTGACGGCAGTAGCCTTAGCTTGAACGCAATGGTCGTTTTATGCGTTGTAAGAGAACTGAACTGATCCCAGTCGGGAATCCTTTATCCGGAGGTTCGATTGAGGCAACATCAGTGACGAAATTAGATGATTTCTCCAAAAACATTATCAACATCGCTTGAAGGAACCTTTAAACGGGTTTTATTGGCGACCTCTTGGTTGAGTTCAAATGACTAACCTAACTCAAAGCAGTAGTATATCTTATACAAGTGTTGCTTATCACCAAATGTGATAGTGTTATGAGCCAGAAACACAGTGTGGACGTTTTTGTTGTGACGAATATTCGAATGAACTAATACCTCAAGGAGGAAAATTTAGTGCAAGTTTCATTTAAAAATAGAAATGTCGGCCCAGTTTCCTTGAGCAGTCAGATTTTCTTTTCTTCACTATCCCGATCTTTTCTCCGCCAGGATATTTAGAACACCGTGTTAACTGACCCTATTTGGCTACGTGAAATTTGCAAACGAACAACTACAGCATTAACAACAACTACGGGAACAACCCGAAGAAACAATACGGCACACTCCTGCAGATGATTAACCGTGTTGTGTTTAGAGATGCACTGAAGGAATGGCACGTTGAATAGCTTAAGAAAACTTTCACTTATAAAAATTTTAAGCTTTCAAACTGTTCTGAACACCCCGGATTGGCGCGACTTTTGAAGTTTCATTTATATTACCACTTTATTAAGAAAAAAATCAGTATCGGAATAAAAAGTTGCATGAAGCTATTCAGCCGAAATGCATAGCGTGACAAACAGACGGTTGACTCTCTGTCTGAAGCTACTCTATGATAAAAAATCAATCGGATCAATTGAGCAACCCCCCCCCCCATTGTCACATGGGGTGGGGGAGATAGCTCAATAGGTAATTGAGGAATGTTTGAAACCACTCGAAAATAGTTTAAATATAAACAAGTCATCAACCAATTCTCTCACGAATGTGGAACACCAAAACTCAAAAAACCAAAGCTCAAAAAGTATTTTTAGACTGAAAAAGTTACTAAAACTGACAAGTGGCACATTTTTTCTGTCTTGCATGAAGAAAAAATGCTATTGCGTACATTAATAACGTGCTGCAGAAAAATTTTTGGTATTCATATGCAAAGTTAGAACACCAATATTGGTAAGTTTTCCTCGAGGCAATGGTCGTCTTTGTTTTTCTTTTTCAAAATTTTTTCTCGACGGTCATATAAAAAAAAATTCAGTAGGTCAATTGATTGCTGGTTATGAACACATCAACCATCTGCTTGCGTTTGTAAATGTCTTTCGTAGCATTTTATTGTTTTTGGTTGGGGGGAAGATACCTAAATTGGTCATTAAGGGGGGGGGGGGGGAATGCTCAATTGATCCGATGAATCTTGGGCCAGTATCAAAACGCACAATTTTAAAATTAAATTGCTTAATACATAGCCCAAATAATCTTTAACAGAACATTTTAATCATCACCTAAGCTTACTTTAGGTGGAACAACTAATTAGACTGACTTGTTCAGTCTTTTCTGGTTTCTATTTTTAGACTTTTTTTAAAAATGTATTGTGAACAAAAATAGGTTGTGCAGATTGCTTTTGAATCCAGAATTTCTTGTTTATTGTTTGTTGGGGAGCGTTTATGAAGCAAAAATACATATAACGCCTCGCAGGTATAATTGATGATCGACAGAAGCCCAATATAAAACTCCATGTAGTTCGTAATAAAATTGTCAACGGTTCAGGGGTTGATAAAAATGCTTGTTAAATAATTCCCAAACCTTTTCTCGCAAAGTTATTTAAAATTCTATAAATATTTTTGGCTCGTTTTCCTTCCCCCTCCCCCACCTGCTATTTTTTACATGTAAATTTGTTGACCACATTGTCCGATTTTTATGAAAATTTACATACAGACTAATAAGGCCACGACAAACATATTTGGTTTTAATACTCAACATCGTAAAACCACTCGTTACACTAATAAGTTGAAACTGGCGTGAGGTGGGGGGGGGGGGGAGGAAAAAGAGCTATATTTTTTTCCAATTTTCTGTGAATGTGTGTCGGACGAACATTTTTTCAGTGTATCGAAAATTACGACTTGCATTGCTCCATAAATTATCAGAACGCACATTTGTTTTGTAAAGTAGTTCATTTTTTGTCCTTCGAAAAACAGTTGACATATAGAGTAATAGCGCATCAAAAGGTTTTTGAAATCTACGGTGGGTCCCGCACTCAGTAAAAAGAGAAAATAATCGATAATATTACAATTATAATATATACTTTTATCAAAATTATAATTATTTACATAACGAGGCCAAACTGTGCACTGGATAGGCACACAATTTTGTGTCTGCATGTTCCTGGATTTCAGAGACAAGTATTTAAACATGTTCCAAAATGTAAGTGGATTCCATTTAAAAGATTTACGTGGATTCCGCGTACATATACTTGTAACGTAAAATTTGTCGGCGTATTTAATTTGTTGCGGATTCCGCAACAAGCAAATATAGCTAGTTGTTCGGGATTCCTCAATTGTAAGTGGATTCCGCAAAATGTTAGTGGAATCCGCAAATGTAGGTGGAATCCGCAAAAGTTGAAAGCGGAATCCGAAAATTGTAAAGA